TCCCAAAGTGCTGGGATTAAAGGCTGAGCCACCGAGCCAGGCCATTTCTTTTTTTTATTATTAAAATTTTTTTTGTTGAAACAGGTCTCACAATGTTACCCAGGCTGGTCCCAAACTTCTAGGCTCCCACCTTGGCATCCCAAAGTGCTGGGATTACAGGCGTGAGCCACCATTGTCTTTAAAATATTTTAAAAAGAGAAATCCAGCCAGGTGCCGTGGCTCAAGCCTGTAATTCCAGCACATTGGAAGGCCAAGGTGAGAGGATTGCCTGTGTCCAGGGCTTCGAGAGCAGCCTGGGCAACTTGGTGAGATCTTGTCTCTACAATAAATTTTAAAAACTTAGCCAGGTGTGGTGGCACATGCCTGTAGTTTCAGCTCCTTGGAAGGCTGAGGTGGAAGGATTGCCTGAGCCCAGAGGTGGAGGCTGCAGTGGCCATGAGCATGCCACTGCACTCCAGACTGGGCAACAGAGTGAGGCTCCAACTCAAAAAACAAAAAAATGAAATCCCAAGAGCTCTCCAAATGCAGTTACTGCCCCAGACTGCCAGGCCCTCCATTTTTTTTTTTTTTTTGAGTTAGAGTCTCACTCTGCTACCCAGACTGGAGCGCAGTGGCATGCCACTGCAGCATCAACTTGCTGGGCTCAGGCAATTCTTCCACCTCAGCCTTCTAAGTAACTGGAACTATAGGCATGCACCACCATGTCCGGCTAATTTTTTTTGTATTTATTGTAAAGATGAGGTCTTTCCATATTGCCCAGGCTAGTCTCAAGCCCGTGGGCTCAGGCAATCCTCTCACCTCTGCCTCCCAAAGTGTTGGGATTACAGGCATGAGCCACTACCCAACTTCTTCATGTTTTTTGCCAACATTTGGCAGTATTAAGACTTTTAATCTTGATAAATATTGCAAGTAAAACATTGTGTCTTGTAGTTTAAACTTGAATTTCCCTGATAAATGGTGAGGTTGAGTGTCTTTTGATCTGTGAGTTCCTGTGTTGCCTCTTGAAGAACTGCCTGTTTTGTGTATGTTGCCCTTTTGTCTGTTGGGTTGTCTGTTCTCTTTTCATGGGTCCATGTGTCTTTCCAGATCCTCAGTGCCTGCTGACCAATGGCAAGCTGCCACTCTGGGCAAAGCGACTGGTGAGTCTTCCAGGAAAGTGGGACACCCAGGGGCTTGTGAGGAAGGGGCCCTCCCCAACTTTTATTTCTTCTGGGAACCCTGTTCCCCTCCCATGTCTCTCCTTTCCCAGGAGAACCCCTGTTACCCTTCCAGTCTCAGCTAGACAGCCTTTTGTTCACACAACAATGCCCCATGCCAAGCTTTGTTCTGGCTGTTGGAGACAGAACAGTGAACAAGGCAGACAGACATCTCCCTTCACGGGCTCACTGTGTGGCCAGGGACAACGTCCACATTAAATAAGCAAATGACATAGGAGGTTGGGAGCTGGAACGTGCTGTGGAGGGAAGAGGATCAAGATGGAACATGAGGACTGTGGGGGGTGGCAGTTTTAGGTAAACAGAAAAGACCTCACTGGGAAGATGCTATCCGAGCAGGGTTGAAGACAGTGAGACACACAGACACGGGGGAAGAACGTTCTAGGCAGATCAGCCTGCATGTGCAAAGGCGGGACTGTGCTTAGCATGTTCAAGGAAGAGCAGGGAGGCTGAGCTGCCTGGGTTGGAGTGAATGAAGGGCAAGTGCGGGGAGAAGGGCTGGGAGAGGTCGCAGGGCCGGCAGGTGTGGGGCACATGGGCTGTGTTGTGCTCCCTCGCACTCGTCCTCACGCTGCTTGCTTTTGCTCCCCAGGAGCACTGAGTGAGGGAGCCAAGGAGGGCTGTGAGCAGGAGACTGGACTGAGGCAGGATGTGTTAGCAGGCTCCTGTGGCTGCATGTGGGAAACAGACTGAGGGAGAGCAGGGAGGAGGCTGGTGTGATGATGCAGGCGGGGGAGATGGTGTTAAGAGTGAATGGAGGAGCCGGGCTCAGTGGCTTAGCCTGTCATCCCACGCCTTGGGAGGCCGAGGTGAGTGGATGGCCTGAGCCTGCGGGCTCGAGACCCACCTGGGCAACTGGGCGAGGCCTCATCTCTACAATAAATCAAAATGAGCCAGGCGTGGTAGCGCGCACCTGTCATTCCAGCTACTTGGAAGGCTGAGGCGGAAGGATCGCCGGGGCCCAGCAGGTCGAGGCTGCGGTGATCAGGTTCGGCCACTGCACTCCAGTCTGGGCGACAGAGCGAGACTCCAACTCAAAAAAAAAAAATGAAGAAAAAAATAATAAAAGAGAGAGAGAAAAGTTCAGCCTGGAGATATATATCTGGGAGTTATTTCTATTTCTGAATCCGGAAGTTGTTTCTCTCTCTCTCTCTCTCTCTTTTTCTTTTTTTAAAGTCGGAGTCTCACCTCACTCTGCCATCCAGCTGGAGTGCAATGGCACATTCACAGCCATTTCAGCCTCAACCTACTGGGCTCAGGTGGTCCTTCCACCTCAGCCTTCCAAGTAGCTGGAACCATAGGCGCATGCCACCATGCCTGGCTATTTTTAAAAATTTATTGTAGAGGCCGGGCTCGGTAGCTCAGCCTGTAATCCCGCGCCTTGGGAGGCCGAGATGAGTGAATTGCCTGAGCCCACGGGTTCAAGACCTGCCTAGACAACTTGGTGAGACCTCATCTCTACAATAAATCAAAAAAAATTAGCCAGGCGTGGTATTGTGCGCCTTGTAGTTCCAGCTACTTGGAAGGCTGAGGCGGAAGGATCACCGGAGCCCATCAGGTTAAGGCTGCGGTGGCCGGGAGCGTGCCACTGCACTCCAGTCTGGGTGACAGAGTGAGACTCCAACTCAAAAAAAAAATTTATTGTAGAGATGAGGTCTCACCAATTTGCCCAGGCTGGTCTTGAACCCATGGGCTTAGGTAATCCTTTCACCTCCACCTTCCAAAACACTGGGACTATAGGCATGAGCCATGCACCCAGCTCGGAAGTTGTTTCTGAGTCCAGTAGTTGTTTCTCAATCTGGAAGGTTTTTTTTGTTGTTTTTTTTTCGTTGGAGTCTCACTCTGTCGCCCAAACTGGAGTGCAGTGGCCACTCCCAGCCACCGCAGCCTCGACCTACTGGGCTCTGGCGATCCTTCCGCCTCAGCCTTCCGAGTAGCCGGAATTACAGGTGTGCGCTACCACGCCTGGCTGATTTTTGATTTATTGTAGAGATGAGGTCTCGCTAAGTTGCCCAGGCAGGTCTCGAACCTGTGGGCTCAGGCAATCCACTCACCTCAGCCTCCCAAAGACGCGGGATTACAGGCTGAGCCACCGAGCCCGGCCGGAAGTTGTTTTTTTTTTAATGGTGTTTAAAGCCCAGAGACTAGATGGGGTCTGTGCAGTGTCCATGGTCCTTGTTATAGTTGGTGCATGCTTAGCTGACCACCTGACTGTCCCATGTCCTTCTTCAAGTTAGGAGACGATGATGTGGCAGATGGCTCAGCCCTCCATGCCAAGCGCAGCTACCAGCCACATGGCCGCTGGGCTGAGCGGGCTGACCAGGAACCCCTCAAGACCATTCTGGATACCCAGGACCTGGACTGCTACTTTACCCCCATGAAGCCTGAGAACCTGGAGAACTCTGTTCTGGATACAGTGGAGCCGCAGAGCCTGGAGAGCCTTCTGAGCGAGGTACATCCTAGCCAGCCAGCAGCACCTGCATTGTACTATCCACCCAGAACTCGGGGCCTCAGTGCTCCAGTTTTGAAAACAGGGCCAACTTCCACTCCATGGAAGGATCATGTGAGATGGTGAAGGACAGGAGGGTGAACCCAGACGTGGTATTCAGCAAGACTTCCCAGAAAGGGGGGCAGACAGGGAGGCTTTGGGAAGTGCGTCTGGGGTTAAGAGCTTAGGGCCTAGAGCAGGCCTGAATCTGAGTAGGGGGCATTTGAGTAGGTAGAGCCCTGACACCACGCCCTTCTGGCTGTGTGGCCTGGAGTAAGGGGCTTGCCTTTCTGGGCTTCACCTTTTTTTTTTTTCAATGGTCATAACGTTCTCCTCTGCCCTAGATGGCTTTTATGGAATCCAGTGCTAAGAACAGGCCCTAGGCCCTTAGAGGTGCCAAGCAACTTTAGCTCTCACTCTGCTATTTTCCAAACAAAATTGTTTTATTCTATTACATATTTTTTCTTCTATCCTGTGAAATAATATGCTTACAGCAATGTCCACAGATCTTAGGTATACAGCTTGATGAATTACCTGTGTAATTCATATGTATCCACCACCAGGAAAAAGCATAAAGCATCTTCTACCTCCCAAAATGCCTCTTTGTTCCCCTCTGCCACTGTTCCCCACCCTATATAACCAATATTCTGACCTCACATGGATTGGTTTGCCTGTTCTTGAATGCTCTACAAATAGACCCTTAGAGGGTTGGGCCCCTTGTCATTTTTGGAGCCATACCTACTTCTGATCTCTAGGAGGACTGACAATGCAGGGGAGTACAGGATGAGCTCATGGGACTCATGGCACGTGGCACAGGCCTGGGCTCACTGTGTCCAGTGGTGGGGCTGCCGGCATCATTGTGCCATTACTGGCCCTGGGAGCTGCGGCTGCTTCAGAATGATTGTGCTGTCTTCACGCCATAGGCAGAGAGTCCCCAGAAGGATGGCTGTGGGCATCCCTCCTTCCTGCCCCGACAGAGGGAGTCATCTGAGGCCAATGAGCTTGTTATCTACGCCCTGCAGGCAGAAATGACAGTCACAGGGACAGCCAGGTAGGTGGTCTTTACACTAAAGCGAGCCTTAGTTGGAAAGGGAAAGCCCCAGCCGAAAAGTACACCCTGGAAGAACTGCTGTCTTCCCAGTGGGACTGTGGGAATGTGGATGGGTGTGGCCTAGATGACACAGGAGCCCAGCCCTGTGGCCTCAGTTTCCCTGGTTCCAGGTGGGGTGCAGGGAGTTTCAGGGAGAAGAGGCATTTGGAGAAGGCAGGAGAGGCTGAAGCAGTGCTCCCAGTAGGAGCAGGGTGCGGCTGCCTGGGGGTTCTGGATGGGCGGCCAGTTGTTCCCTCGCCAGTGTATGTTACTGTTCCCTCACTCACTCCCACTGGCATTGCAGCAAGTACTGTGAAGAGGAGGCAGAGGCAGGGCCTGGAGACCAGCAGGGCAACTCCTACCTCAGAATCTCCTCCGTCAGCCCAAAGGATCAGAGCCTCCCTGAGGGTAAGTGAGGGCTAGGCAGGGACCCTGTGGAAGTCTGCCCATTCAGCCTGGCCCCTTTCTGGGCACTGACTGAGGGTGACTTTGACCCCGTCCTGCTGAAGTTCAGAGTCTGTCGCCGAAGACAGACATGGTCCCTTCTGTTTCCTGAGGATTCTGGAGCCCAACTCTGCCACCTTCTTGATGTGGAACTTCTCTTGTCCATAAAGTGGGGGTTGGGTGCTGTGGTCATTCCCATTCTCCCGATGAGGAAACTGAAGCCCAGAGAAGCTGAGCCATTTGCCTTGGCTCACCTGAAGGGCCCCAGCTGTGGGTCCCTGACCCTAGGCTCTGCTCCTTCAGACTCAGAGGAGTTGGAGGCTGACTTGGAGTGCAGCTTCGCCACCAGCCATTCCTCCCCACCACGGTCTGATCCCGACCCTCAGTTTGCCTTGACGATGCCCCTCACACCAGGTAAGCAGCAGCCAGTCACGCAGGGAGGGCCGTGAAGGGACCTGGCTTAGAGATGATCACATACGCACTGGCCCCACTTCAGCCCTGAATGTGACACCGAACTTCAGCAGGAGCCTTTCCTTCTCAGCGTGGTGGCAACAGTGTGTGATGGGCAGGTCCAAGCTTTCTCTGTTGTCAGGTGGTGTCTGCTGTGACTCATGGTGTTGGTGGCTTCTCTCTCCCCTCCCTCCCTCCCCCCTCACCTCTCTGTAGGATGCTCAGGGACCACAGAAGAAGAGTTGTCGCGTTCTGAGGGGCTGAGCCTGCCCAGCAGCTCCCTGCCCCAGACCCCGGAGCAGGAGAAGTTCCTCCGCCACCACTTTGAGACACTGACTGAAACCCACCCTGAAGGTAGGGCCCTGCCCTTTGATGAGCCCTGCCTGGGCTGTCCGTCCAGTGCTGAGCTGTGTGGGTGTCTCCTGGCAGGGTGGGGCAGGAGGGCGGGGTGGGAGAGCATACCTCTTCTCGTAGGGACTGAGTTGCACAGATCTTCTTCTCCCTGCACCATTTGCTCCTGAGATGGAGATTTCTGGGGATCCACTTGCTGACCTGCGTCCCTGCCCAAGTCTGGGGCTGGTTGACTGGAGGGATGCTGAGGGTCCCTTCGGCGTCTTCCCCTAGAGCTCTTCCATGGGTCACTGAGAGATGTGGAGGTCTCTGAGGACAAGGACTATTACTTCAACCCTCGACTCAGCATCTCAGCCCAGTTCCTCTCAAGCCTCCGGAAGACATCCAGGTAGGAGCCCTCGTCCCACCCTCCAGCTCCCTAAGCACTGCCCGCCCGCCACCCCCCGCCCACAGGGCTGTGTCCCTCGGGCACCTCAGGGCTGGCTGAGTGAGTGTCCCTGTCCTGCCTGGTTTCTTCCCCACAGGTTCACCCACACCCTCCCTCACCGGCAGCCCCAGCACCCTGTGAAGTCTCTGGAGGTCAAGCCCACAGACCAAGGCGGAAGCCAGCCCAGAGCAGAGACCCTGAGAGCAGGTACTGGCTACGCCTCCCCAGATGGGACCCACGTGAGTATTGGGGTGCTACCTTCCTCAGGACACAGGGCTGGGAGCCAGGAGGCCTTGTCCTCACCTCACAGTTTGCTTGCAGGTCCTCTCTGGGGAGAAGGCTGAGGAGACCCTGGAGGCCTGGTGCCCGCCGAGTAAGTTCTCCCAGCCCTGCAGGAACAGCGTTGGGTTTCTCAGCAGGCAGCCCTAGATGCCCAGCTGAGCTGTGGGGGGTGTCTGTTCAGACCCTACACCCCCGGGGCGGGACCCTATCTGTGCTGCTGCGGTGTGAGAGCGCCATCTGCTTCCTTTACAGGCCTGGTACCTTGTACCCCTTCCTCCTCAGTGCTACCCACAGACAGGAAGCCTCCAGTGCCCACGTCTGTTCCCGCCCGAGGCCTGGCTCAGGGTGTCCATGCTCCCTCGACCTGTTCCTACATGGAAGCCACTGCCGGCTCCTGTGCCCAGATGTCACGCAGCATCTCCTTCGGGGACAGTGAGGACCCTGTTGTGGCTGAGCTGGCCACGCCCCTCCATAGGCCATCGTCCTTGGGGGAGCTGGCCTCCCTGGCTCAGGAGCTCCAGGCCGTCACCACCACAGCAACATCCAATCTGAACGGCGAGGGCCAAAAGCCTGCCTGGCACTCCTGTGGCAACCACGAGGCCCGGGCCAACCTGAGGCTCTCGCTGTCAAGTGTCTGTGACGGGCTCCTGCTGCCCTCACCCCCGCTGGAGCCACCCATCATGGGTGCCTGGTCCCAGGAACCCATGGACTCCCAGCCCAGGGTCACAGTCACAGCTGCCAGCTTCCCAATCCCTAGCCCTGTGGATGTGTGCCCCCCAAGGCTCCCAGGCCCTGAGCCCCCCGACTCCCCTGCCCATGCCAACAGCCTCCAGCCTCTGGAGGCCGGACCTGGTGTCCCTGGTCGCACTGCCTCCCTCCCGGAGCCCACCCCTGGTGAGTATACCCTTGGAGCAAGGGACTGTCCCCTACGCTCATCCAGCGTGCTAGTGACTCAGCTTCAAAAGTGGAGGGAGGACACCTTGGAGGACCCAGCCACAGGAGCCGTGCCATTCATTCATTCATTCGTTTGCTTACTTAAATATTTGATGAGCATTTTGTACATGTTGGGCTTTGTTCTGAGCCCTGGGGACATGGTGGTAAATAGGACTGTAGACGATTGACATCTTTTTTTTTTTTTGAGTTGGAGTCTCACTCTGTCGCCTGGACTGGAGTGCAGTGGCTGCTCCCAGCCACCACAACCTCGACCTGCTGGGCTTCGGCAATCCTTCCGCCTCAGCCTTCTGAGTAGCCAGAATTACAGGCATGTGCTACTATGCCCGGCTGATTTTTTTTAATTTATTGTAGAGATGAGGTCTCGCTGCCCAGGCGGGTGATTGACATCTTTGTTTGTTTGTTTTGAGTTGGAGTCTCACTCTATAACCCAGACTGGAGTGCAATGGCCGCTCCCGGCCACCACAGCCTCGACCTGCTGGGCTCCGGCAATCCTTCCGCCTCAGCCTTCCGAGTAGCTGGAACTACAGGCGCACGCTACCACGCCTGGCTAATTTTTGATTTATTGTAGAGATGAGGCCTCGCCAAGTTGCCCGGGCGGGTCTCAAACTCGCGGGCTCAGGCAATCCACTCACCTTGGCCTCCCAAAGTGCTGGGGTTACAGGCTGAGCCACCGAGCCAGCCTGACGATTGACATCTTAATGGGGGCAGTACCTAGACAAACTCTATAAGGAAACCATCAAAGTGACATGAAGTGACACGTCCTAAGGAGAGAAATAAGAGAAGGGGGATAGGGAGTGTGAGTGGGAGACAGTGGCTGCAATTTTAAACAGGATGATGAGAAAAGGCTTCAGGGAGAAGGTTACACTTGAGCAGAAACCTGCAGGAGGGACGGAGCCTTGGGGACTGAGAGAAGTGTTCCAGGAAGGGACAACACTGGGAATTAGCCCAGCCACCCTCGTCTTTCAGGCCAGCTCGAAATTGGCTGTGCCTCCCTCTTTCCCTCCTCGCTACCCCCAGAGGCACTCGGTCTGACCCAGGGCAGCCCTGCACACTGGAGCAGACACCGAGTGCCGGCTGAGGTCCTGCCGCCAGCACCCCTCGAGCTGAGCAACGTGGAGAACATCTTGCACCGGCTGCAGAGGGCCTTCCAAGAAGCCCTTGACCTTTACCATGTGGTAAGCCACATCCAGGGTCTGGGGAAAGGGACCGCCTGGCTGGGTGGACCCTGACAAGGCTTGCATCCCTCGCAGCTGGTCTCCAGCGGCCAGGCGGACTCCGAGCAGCAGAAGGCACAGACCAAGCTGGCCTCCGCCTTCCTGTGGATCCGCAGCCAGCTGGAGGCCAAGGACTGGCCGGTCGGGACTGCTGTGGCCCCAGCCCAGGCCCTGCCCAGCCCAGGCGCCCCCTCCCCACCTACACTGTGCCCCCTGGCCAGCTCAGACTTGCGTGCCCTGCTGGAACACTACTCGGAGCTGCTGGTCCAGGCTGTGCGGAAGAAGGTGCGGGGGGATTGAAGGCCAGCAGCCCCCCGCCACCACAGCCCGCGACCTCTGAAGAAACAGATGTTTTAAGTGAATAAACTGACAGCTTGAAGGACTAGTTCCTGGTGCCTGTTTGGGTCCATCCACAAAACCTTCGGGTAGATGCAGGGAGGGGAAGGATAGAAGATGACGCTCAGGAGGACCAGCCCAGGGGACTCACAGTTGCTCCAGTGCCAGGCCCTGTTCCAGGATTCTGTCCTTGGAGAACATGGGACAAACATGCCCGAGAAGTTTGAGAACTGCGATAATGATAACCCAGGCCCAGGTCACCCACATGGCCCATTGTGCTGCCCCAGAGGGGAGAGGGAGTCGTATGTGGTCCTTGCCCAGCAGGGCCGGTGGTACTCCAGGGAAGAATGCCCTTTTCCCTGCCCCCACCAGTGCCCAAGAACCCCCTTGGAGCTGCTGTGATTGCCATGTGCCTGACCTTGCCCATCAGTCCATGCATGGCCATACTGGATCCTGCCGGGTCCAGGCTGCTTTTGTCCCCATCTGCAACAGAGGAAACCGAGGAAGGACAAACAGGCTTGCCCCTCGACAGTCCTAGCAGCAAGCCCCGGCCACGCAGCAGCTGGGACCAAGTAATTCCTCCAGCAGGAGATCAGCATCCCATGAGCTCCCAGCACTGGTGCCAGCTCTCCCAGGAGGCAGGCATCTAGCCACGTGTATGTCTGCTAAGAAGGCCCCTCTTAGGATCAAACATCCCCTCTGTCCCAGGTCCCCATAAAAAGGAAGCCAGAGCCGGGTGCGGTGGCTCATGCCTCCAATCCCATCACTTTGGGAGGCCAAGGCAGAAGGACTGCTTGAGACCAGGAGTTCAAGACCAGCCTGGGCAACATAGTGGGAACTTGTCTGTAACCACCCAAAAAGCAGAGGGAGGCCAGCAGGGACTTTCCTAAAGCACAGTCCCACCACATGGCCCTCCATGGTTTGTGAGTTCTCTGCTGCATTTAATGGTCATGGCCCACCAGAAAAGGAAACAAAACAAAACAGGCTCAGGGAGACCCAGTTTCCTGCCTGGGTCCCCAGAGCTGCGACTTGAACCCAAGTTAGCTTGGTGGCAGAGCTGGACCCTTCAACATGAAGCACTGCTCTCTGCTGCTATAACATGACACATACTGCTCTCTGCTGCTATAACATGACACATCAGGACCAATCTTGCAGTTGTTCAAAAATCCTAGCCGAGCTCGGTGGCTCAGCCTGTAATCCCACACCTTTGGGAGGCTGAGGTGAGTGGATTGCCTGAGCCCACGGGTTCAAGACCCGACTAGGTAGGCGAGACCTCATCTCTACAATAAATCAAAAAGTTAGCCGGGCGTGGTAGCGTGCGCCTGTAGTTCCAGCTACTCGGAAGGCCGAGGCGGAAGGATCACCGGAGCCCAGCAGGTCGAGGCTGCGGTGGCCAGGAGCGGCCACTGCACTTCAGTCTGGGCAACAGAGTGAGACTCCAACTCAAAAAATATATATATATCCTGCCAGCTCCCAGGCACCTTTCACTGACCTACACATCAGGGGTAGAGGGGAGAACAGGTCAGGCAGCTTGTCTGTCCTCATGGCCACTCACCTTCTAGGGAGCAATAGAGACCAGAATTAGAGCTTCCTTTGTATAATTTTAAACAGACTAGGGAGATTTGCTGTGCTGGTGGAGTGTCAGGGAAAGCTTTTCTGAAGCAATATCTGCTTGATAGAGGACATCTCAGGAACAGCCAGTGGAGAGGCCTATGAGTGGGTGGGTGGGGCGGGATCAAGCATGGTATGCGTAAGCAACAGTCAAGCCAGATGGCGGGAATGGAGTAAGCCAGGGGAGGGCAGATGATGTAGGAGTAATGGGGGGTCCCACCAGGTAGGCCCTTGTTGCCTCTCCCTGCCGCAGGGAGCCCAGGTGGCCCAGGACTTGTCAGAGGCTCGCTCCAGGCCCACAGACCACCCCACAAGACTAGAAGCCCACCTGCCTATTTTGGCCACTGTTATCCAAGATCCCTGGGCAAAGTCTGCCAAGGTTTGCCCAACACAACGTTTGGGGTCCAGCCCCACCCCTAACACCCAAGAAACCACCTTGGGCCTCTGTCCCTCATGGATGTTGGCTACTCTTTTTTTTTTTTTCGAGTTGGAGTCTCACTCTGTCGCCCAGACTGAGGTGCAGTGTCCGCTCCCGGCCACCGCAGCCTCAACCTGCTGGGCTCCGGCGATCCTTCCGCCTCGGCCTTCCGAGTAGCTGGAACTACAGGTGCGTGCTACCACGCCCAGCTAATCTTTTGATTTATTGTAGAGATGAGGGCTCACCAAGTTGCCAGGCGGGTCTTGAACCCGCGGGCTCAGGCAATCCACTCACCTCAGCCTCCCAAGGCATAGGATTACAGGCTGAGCCACCGAGCCCAGCTGGCTACTCTTGATTATGTCATGGGCTTGGCTTCTTTCTCTCTTGCTCTGTCACTGTAAGTCAGTTTTACTTTCCAGCTTAGAACCTCACAGTTGCAACATGGCTGCTGTTGCACCCAACAGTACACCTTCATCCAACTAGGAGCAAAGACATGAAGCAGGTACCCACCAGGGCAGCAGGAAAGACATACAAATTATATCCATAGGTTTGCCCTTCAGATCATTCACACACAACAGGAATGGAGATCGCTCTGATTTGCTTAGAACATTTCTCCTGTCCTGGTCATGTTGCTGCTCAAACAAAATTGGGTTCACCAAACAGGTCTGGTAGAGAGGATCCAGCATATCTGTCACTCCCCTCTTCCAAATGTCAAGCTCTTCAGCCCTGGAAGGATCATACTTTCACCCTAGACAAGACACCTGGTTAAAAAACAACTACCAGTACGCTGGGCCAAGTGGCTCATGCCTGTAGTCCCAGTACTTTAAGAGGTTGAGGCAGGAAGACTGCTTGAGCCCAGGAGTTTGAGACCAGCCTGGGCAACATAGCAAGACCTCATCTCTCATCTTTACAAAAAATTTAAAAATTAGCCAGGCATCGTGGCGCACTCCTATAGCGCCAGCTACATGGGAGGCTGAGGCCACCTTACCGTCCAACATTGAGCATTTCTGGTCCGTATTTCAAACTCTTCAGACTCTTCCCCCATGACCCACCACCTGCTACCCCCACCCAGTGCAAACATGGGCTAGATCCCTGTGTCCCCACCCTTCCTCTGGAGCAAGACAATTTCGGCACAGACGCCCTCTCCTGTTTCCTCAGACAGCTGCTGTGATTTGAATAACCAAGCGGGCTGTTGGATGTCCTGTGGTGACTGATTTGCCTGGCAAACAGACCCTTAAGTCCTTTGCCTAGCTGGCACTCCAGGGAGACACTCAGCCCCCCTGGGGCCATGTCTTCTCTCCCCTAAGCCCATCTCCCCTTCTTGAGCCTCCTTGGTGGTCCTAGGGTTTGTCTGCTCCTGAAGCTGGTCAGTTCCCTCAGGAACCTGATGCGGAAGGTAGAATGGCAGGGCAGAGGTAACGAGTTGGCTAAATCTGCTCCCTGGGCCAGCCAGGAAATTTGCATGAAGAGAATGAGGTTCCTCCAAGGCTTTCCCCTCCCTTTCCACCTGGGGCAGTCGTCCTGGGGCTGAGGTCTGACAGCAGGTGAAGACAGCCCTTGTGTAGCGCCGTCTCACCATTCCTGAGGTGATGCCCCGTGCCTTCCTGGTCAGGAGTCGGCGTCCACAGCCACCCAATTGGGGCCGCCTGCCTGACCAGCTCCGGGGAGATGCCTATATCCCAGGTGAGCCACTCACTGGGCCTGGAGGTAAGGGTCTGGGAAGACACAGAGCATCACCACCAGTTCTCTCCTCAGACTGCAGCAGCCTTGGGGGGCTACAGGCACACCAGTCTTCCACCCTCAGGGACTCCTGGACAGTGGTGAGTCTGGCCCACAAACCCAGCTCCGTCTCACCCCTGCATGCTCTTAACTGAAACTGACCACTCCTTACTGCCCAGGCCCATTTGCACTTGCCCTCCAGTCTCAGGACTTTCTACCCATTGTTCTCTCTGCTGGGAATGCTTCTCCTTTCCTAGCAGTGAGCCCCGTTAGATCTCATCCCAAGCACCAGGATGGGCAGCTGCAGTACCTGCATCCAGAGATCTCTCCGTCCAGGGAAGAAGAACAGAGTTCAACTCAACAAGTTGATGATTTGTTTTATGTCAGAATAAGGGACAAAGTGATAGGTGTGAGATGGGGAATGGGGGATCTTGGAGCCTCTCAGAAGGAATATCTCAGCTGTGCAAGCATTGAAAGAAGAGCACTAGCCAGACTCTGAATGTGCTCAAGATTATTTCAGTATTTTTTAATAATTTTTTTAAAAGTTAATTTTTAATAGAGATGGGCTCTTGCTATGTTGCCCAGGCTAGTCTCAAACTTCTGGGCTCAAGTAATCCTCCCACCTCAGCCACCCAAAGTGCTGCGATTACTGGTGTGAGCCACTGTACCCAGGCTTTATAACTTAAAAAGTTTTTTTAAAGATTATTTTGCTGGGCGCGGTGGCTCATGCCTATAATCCCAGCACTTTAGGAGGCTAAGGTGAGAAGATTGCCTGAGCTCACAGGTTCGAGACCAGCCCGGGCAAACTGGTGTGACCTCATCTCTGCAATAAATCAAAAAGTTAGCCAGGCGTGGTGGCACATGCCTGTAGTTCCAGCTACTTAGAAGGCTGAGGCGGAAGGATTGCCTGAACCCAGCAGGTCGAGGCTGCAGTGGCCATGAGCGTGCCCCTGCACTCCAGCCTGGGTGACAGAGTGAGACTACAACTCAAAAAAAAAAAAAAAAAGATTATTTCAGTTTTTATTCAGAACCAGGCACTATTCTAAGCACTGAGAAGTAGGAGTCAAACAAATTCACTCTTTTATGCAGCTTGTGTTCTGGTGGGGATTGGGGGTATAAACAGTAAAATTAGCAAAGTATATATTACATTGGAAGATGATACTTGCTATGGAGAAATATCAAGTAAGGTGAGGATGATGGGGGATGAAAGTTGTTGGATTTGGAGATAAAATTAGTGCAGAATTTTAAAGAGGTCGTAGGTGGGTGATGTCTGTTACGTGTTTATAAAGAAAAGTCAAAGAGACAAGGGTACCTGCATTAATGAACATTTGTATGCTTAATCCTGAATTGTATCCTACATCTTTATTTGTTTATTTTTATTGTTTTGAGTTGGAGTCCCGCTCTGTCACTCAGACTGG